ACAAGAAGAGCTAACTATCCTAAATATAGTGCACCCAATACAGGAGAACCCAGATTCATGAAGCAAGTCCTTAGAAACTTACAAAGAGATTTAGACTCCCATACAATAATAATAGGAGACTTTGACACCCCACTGTCAACATTAGACAGATCAACGAGACAGAAAGTTAACAAGGATATCCAAGAATTGAACTCAATTCTGCACCAAGCGGACCTAATAGACATCTACAGAATTCTCCACCCCAAATCAACAGAATATACATTCTTCTCAGCACCACATTGCACTTATTCCAAAACTGACACATAGTTGGAAGTAAAGCACTCCTCAGCAAATGTAAAAGAATAGAAATTATAACAAACTGTCTCTCAGGCCACAGTGCAATCAAACTAGACCTCAGGATTAGGAAACTCAATCAAAACCACTCAACTACATGGAAACTGAGCAACCTGCTCCCGAATGACTACTGGGTACATGATGAAATGAAGGCAGAAATAAAGATGTTCTTTGAAATGAGAACAAAGATACAACATACCAGGATCTCCAGGACACATTTAAAGTAGTTTGTAGAGGGAAATTTATAGCACTGAATGCCCACAAGAGAAAGCAGGAAAGATCTAAAACTGACACCCTAACATCACAATTAAAAGAACTAGAGAAGCAAGAGCAAACACATTCAAAAGCCAGCAGAAGGCAACAAATAACTAAGATCAGAGCAGAACTGAAGAAGATAGAGACACAAAAAAAAACCCTTCAAAAAAATCAATGAATCCAGGAGCTGGTTTTTTGAAAATATCAACAAAATTGATAGACCGCTAGCAAGACTAATAAAGAAGAAAAGAGAGAAGAATCAAATAGACGCAATAAAAAATGATAAAGGGGATGTCACCAGCGATCCCACAGAAGTACAAACTACCATCAGAGAATACTATAAACACCTCTACGCAAATAAACTAGAAAACCTAGAAGAAATGGATAAATTCCTGGACACATACACTCTCCCAAGACTAAACCAGGAGGAAGTTGAATCCCTGAATAGACCAATAGCAGACTCTGAAATTGAGGCACTAATTAATAGCCTACCAACCAAAAAAAGTCCAGGACCAGACGGATTCGTAGCCGAATTCTGCCAGAGGTACAAGGAGGAGCTGGTACCATTCCCTCTGAAACTATTCCAATCAATAGAAAAAGAGGGAATCCTCCCTTACTCATTTTATGAGGCCAACATCATCCTGATACCAAAGCCTGGCAGAGACACAACAAAAAGAGAGAATTTTAAACCAATATCCCTGATGAACATTGATACAGAAATCCTCAATAAAATACTGGCAAACCAAATCCAGCAACACATCAAAAAGCTTATCCACCATGATCAAGTGGGCTTCATCCCTGGGATGCAAGGCCGGTTCAACATACGCAAAGCAATAAACGTAATCCAGCATATAAACAGAACCAACGACCAAAACCACACGATTATCTCAATAGATGCAGAAAAGGGCTTTGACAAAATTCAGCAGCCCTTCATGCTAAAAGCTCTCAATAAATTCGGTATTGATGGAACATATCTCAAAATAATAAGAGCTATTTATGACAAACCCACAGCCAATATCATACTGAATGGGCAAAAACTGGAAGCATTCCCTTTGAAAACTGGCACAAGACAGGGATGCCCTCTCTCACCACTCCTGTTCAACATAGTGTTGGAAGTTCTGGCTAGGGCAATCAGGCAAGAGAAAGAAATAAGGGATATTCGATTAGGAAAAGAAGAAGTCAAATTGTCCCTGTTTGCAGATGACATGATTGTATATTTAGAAAACCCCATCATCTCAGCCTAAAATCTCCTTAAGCTGAAAAGCAACTTTAGCAAAGTCTCAGAATAGAAAATCGATGTGCAAAAATCACAAGCATTCTTATACACCAATAACAGACAAGCAGAGATCCAAGTCATGAATGAACTCCCATTCACAATTGCTTCAAAGAGAATAAAATACCTAGGAATCCAAATTAGAAGGGATGTAAAGGACCTCTTCAAGGAGAACTACAAACCACTGCTCAGTGAAATAAAAGAGGACACAAACAAATGGAAGAAAATACCATGCTCATGGATAGGAGGAATCAATATCGTGAAAATGGCCATACTGCCCAAGGTAATTTATGGATTCAGTGCCATACCCATTAAGCTACCAATGACTTTCTTCACAGAATTGGAAAAAAACTGCCTTAAAGTTCATATGGAATGAAAAAAGACCCCACATTGCCAAATCAATCCTAAGCCAAAAGAACAAAGCTGGAGGCATCACGCTACCTGACTTCAAACTATACTACAAGGCTACAGTAACCAAAACAGCATGGTACTGATACCAAAACAGAGATATAGACCAATGGAACAGAACAGAGCCCTCAGAAATAATACCACACACCTACAGCCATCTGATCTTTGACAAACCTGAGAGAAACAAGAAATGGGGAAAGGATTCCCTATTTAATAAATGGTGCTGGGAAAATTGGCTATCCATAAGTAGAAAGCTGAAACTGGATCCTTTCCTTACTCCTTATACAATAATTAATTCAAGATGGATTAGAGACTTAAATGTTAGACCTAAAACCATAAAAACCCTAGAAAAAAACCTAGGTAATACCATTCAGGACATAGGCATAGGCAAGGACTTCATGTCTAAAACACTAAAAGCAATGGCAACAAAAGCCAAAATTGACAAAATTGACAAATAATTAAACTAAAAAGCTTCTGCACAGCAAAAGAAACTACCATCAGAGTGAACAGGCAACCTACAGAATGGGAGAAAATTTTTGCCATCTACTCATCTGACAAAGGGCTAATATCAAGAACCTACAAAGAACTCAAACAAATTTACAAGAAAAAACAACCCCATCAAAAAGTGGGCAAAGGATATGAACAGACACTTCTCAAAAGAAGACATTTATGCAGCCAATAGACACATGAAACAATGCTCATCATCACTGGCCGTCAGAGAAATGCAAATCAAAACCACAATGAGATACCATCTCACACCAGTTAGAATGGCAATCATTAAAAAATCAGGAAACAACAGGTGCTGGAGAGGATCTGGAGAAATAGGAACACTTTTACACTGTTGGTGGGACTGTAAACTAGTTCAACCATTGTGGAAAACAGTGTGGCGATTCCTCAAGGATCTAGAACTAGAAATACCATTTGACCCAGCCATCCCATTACTGGGTATATACCCAAAGGATTATAAATCATGCTGCTATAAAGACACATGCACACGTATGTTTATTGCGGCACTATTCACAATTAGCAAAGACTTGGAATCAACCCAAATGTCCATCAGTGACAGACTGGATTAAGAAAATGTGGCACACATACACCATGGAATACTATGCAGCCATAAAAGGGATGAATTCATGTCCTTTGTAGGGACATAGATGCAGCTGGAAACCATCATTCTCAGCAAACTATTGCAAGAACAGAAAACCAAACACCACATGTTCTCACTCATAGGTGGGAACTGAACAATGAGATCACTTGGACACAGTAAGGGGAACGTCACACACCGGGGCCTATTGTGGGGCGGCGGGAGTGGGGAGGGATAGTATTAGGAGACATACCTAATGTAAATGACGAGTTAATGGGTGCAGCCCACCAACATGGCACATGTATACATATGTAACAAACCTGCATGTTGTGCACATGTACCCTAGAACTTAAAGTAATAATAATAAAAAAAAAAGAAAAGAAAAAGAAAAGACAGTCTAGAACAAAGACTCTCAATGCCTCGGCCTGTAAGATGTACAGAAACATGAGACTCATGAAGAATTTTCTACCAACACAATTCTACATATACAGGTTGAGTACTCCTTATTCAAAATACCTGGAACCAGAAGTGCTTCCGAATTTTTTCTTTTTCTTTTTTGGAATATTGCATTATATTTACCTGTTGAGCATCCCAAGTCTGACAATCCCAAATCCAAAATGCTCCAATGAACATTTCCTTTGAGGGTCAGATTGATGCTCAAAATATTTTGAATTTTGGAGCATTTTGGGTTTTCAATTTTTGGATTTGGGGTGCTCAACTTTTATACATGTTTATTATCCATCTTCCCCAAAGAATATTAAGCTCCCCAAGGGTAGAGATTTTGTCTTTGTTCAGTTCTTTGTCTCTAGTGCTTAGAGCAGTGCCTGGCACACAGTAAGTGCTCAGTAAATATTTGTTAAGTGAATGGATGAATATGAATTATTTCATCAGTTTCCTAATAATATACTTAGGAATGATGAGAAAAATAACTTTGGTATGTCTATATTTCTAATAATATAGCTCACTGGTATTTTGATAGTATCTTTAATTATGTTCTGAAAGTAAGTTTCTATTTCAACACTGATCTTTATTTTATTGTCAGATTTGGAAAACATACACATTTTTTTAAGTACATGGAAAAGGAAATTTTTACCAAACATGCAGTGTATTTTGATATGGTTGGGGCCTTTGAAGCAAAGAACTGTGTATAGACATAGATCAGTAACAGAAGTGAATACCATAGCATATTGTGTTACGATGTGCCACATGGATTTAATTAGAATTTCAGCTGGGTTTTTTTTTGTTTTGTTTTTTGTTTTGTTTTGTTTTTACTGTGAGTGTAAGTGGTTAGATTCAGTTTTGTCAAGTACAGTATTTGGTTCATGCTACAAATTTTCCATTTGTTCTTTGGATTTACGTAATTCTCCCACTTGCATCAAGAATAAAAATATTTATCTTTTTAAATATTCATAGGTTGTATTATTTATGGTGTAATGGTGGGCAGTATCATAGATTAAGAGGAGTAAAGTTAGGAGATTAGCCCTGCCACCAATGAGCTGTATAAACTTGGACAAGTTCCTGCTTGTCTGTGCCACATTTCTCACTGAACTTTGAGGAGGTCAGAGTAGCTGTTTAATGTTCCAATTCTAGACCTCTATGGTTTTTGGATATTCATAAAACTATCTTTTATTGTTTTTCTGGTTTCAGGTGATGTCCTTGTTGCTGTGAATGATGTTGATGTTACTACTGAAAACATCGAGAGGGTTCTGTCTTGCATTCCTGGACCTATGCAGGTATGGACATTCTTTTTCTATATTTTATGATGTTACGTAAAATAAATATATCCTGCACTATTTTCCTTTTTAAGCTTCTGAAAAGCATCACGTATAATGGATGAGTTACATTGGTAATTGGCTATTTAAGAAAATTTAGCTTTTGCTAATATTATTAGCTTTCGGAGATTAGTCTAAAAAGAGAAAAATATCTGCAAATAAAATTCTACGTAAAGCAGTAACAGCAACAGTAATGAAAACATATATAATTACAAACTTCCCATTATAACTACCATATATGCTTGTGATAATCTAGTTCCTAGAAGAGTCATTTTAAATAGTCATGGAGTTTTCTGTTCTCTGACTTACTAAGATCACTGTTGCCATAAAGTTTTTTTTTCCAATGTGATTTTATTTTAAAAACAAATTATACAAGTTTCTTGATTTTTTTTTTTTTTTTTTTGTCATTTCATTAAACTTTTCTCCTGGACTTTTGTTTGGCTACTTAACGAATTATTTTTCAATCCTTGTAGATAGAAATAAATTTATTGTGTAAAAAGTCATTTTTATACCCTAAACATTGACATTGTGTATCGTAAATGACATTTTTCGGTTATTAGGGTTATTTTGCAAGTGCTATACCTTTTGGTAACAGAGTATACCATGAATATTCTGTTCTAGATAGCATCAGGAATTAGTGTTCTGTTTTTGGGGGCACAGGGAAGATGATATGCTTTATATGGGTTAGAGCAGGGGTCCCCAAACCCTGGGCCATGGACTGGTAGTGGTTCATGGCCTATTAGGAACTGGACTCCATAGCAGGAAGTAAGCAGTGGGCAAGTGAGCAAAGCGTCATCTGTATTTACAGCTGCTCCCCATCGCTCACATTAGTGTCTGAGCTCCACGTCCTGTTAGATCAGCGGTGGCATTAGATTCTCCTAGGAGCACGAACCCTATTGTGAACTGTGCATGCAAGGAAGGGCTCTAGGTTCTATGCTCCTTATGAGAATCTAATGCCTGATGATTTGTCACTGTCTCCCATCACCCCCAGATGGGACCATCTAGTTGCAGGAAAACAAATTCAGCGTTCCCACTGATTCTACATTATGGTGAATTGTATAATTATTTCATTATATATTACAATGTATTATAATAATAATAGAAATAAAGTGCTATGTATTATCCCTGAGTGAGGGATCCCCTTTTCTTCTTATGTTGGTTGCAGGTGTGCTTCCAGTATTACCAGAGTTCAATCATGTCTCTTCTTCTTCAAAAATATGAAAAGTTATGTTTACAGCAGAATCACATTATACTTATATTTAATTAACCTTTGCAAATTCAGCTGTGCACACTTAGCAGAAGAAAAAGGGAGAGAAAGAAATAAGGATTTAAATATTTTGGACCAGTTCCATCCACAATTAACCCATCCTTTTTAAACATGCAAGAGTAGTCAGGTATGCATTTATTATATACTTTATTTCTATTATTATGAAATAATTATACAACTCACCATAATGTAGAATCAGTGGGAACCCTGAGCTTGTCTTCCTGCAACTAGATGGTCCTATCTGGGGGTGACAGGAGACAGTGACAGATTGTCACGCATTAGATTAACATAAGGAGTGCACAGCCTAGATCCCCCAAATGCACAGTTCCCAATAGGTTTTGTGCTGCTGGTAGAATCTAATGTCACCACTAATCTGACAGGAGGTAGAGCTCAGGTGGTAATGTGAATGATGGGAAGTGGCTGTAAATATGGATGAAGCTTCACTCACTGGCCACTCACCTCCTGCTATCCCACCTGGTTCCTAATGGTTCTGATACCTGTCCATGGCCTGAGGTTGACGCCCCCTGGTGTAAGAAGATGCCCTTATGCTTAGGAGAGACCTGCTAAAGTACTTAGGGACAATGTATTAAAATACCTGCAAATAATTTTCAAATGGTTCAGCCAAGAAACTTAAAAATACATATAGAGAAGGGAGGAGTATGGAAGGAAAGGAAAGGAAGACCAGAGAGAAGAGACAAAATGAAGCAAATGTGACAAAATGTTAACAATAGTGCCATTAGATGTGGGATTATGGGCAATCATTGTACTATTCTTACAACTTTTCTGTAGTTTCAAAATTTCTAAAATAAAATGTTGATTTAAAAAAGAGGTTTTCAAAAATTTAAATAACAGGAACAAAGGTTCAAATACTCATCTAATTGCTGACTTTTGTGACTCTGATCTGTTTCTGCAGCTCTGTGCTCTCATTTATTTAACAGGTACATAATCATGCATGTAGTACATCATCTCCTCCCCTGTCTTTTTATCTGGGAGCTTGGGTCCAAATTTTGCAGAAGACCAAGACTGATTTCATTTAGCTCTGGGCCATAGCTGGCTTTTTTAGAGCTTTGGAGGATCCTAACTGCTTTTCTAGGAGAAGAGCCTGAAGATTATTAGTCTTGGACTCTTCTCTCTCAGGTAGTTCTTAGGCCTGAAGGAGGGGGCAAAGGCTTCTTAAAGGAGATGATTCTTGAGTGGAATGTTTTAACTTTTATTATTTCCTTGTTACACAGAAATGATACATATACTGTGGAAAAATTAGAAAACAAACTAGTAAAATTTTTTAGATATTTGTAAATCTATTCTCAGAACCCAGAAGTAACCATTTATATCAACATTTTAAAGTGCAGGACTTATATGCAAATCAGATTTGCATTTTAGGAATATTTCACTCTGGATCGGGGAAGCATATGCAAGACTAGAGGTCAGGAAACCAGGTGGTTGGTTCTGCAGTAGTCCAGAAGAGAGATGATAAAGGCCTGAGCAACATGCTGACCGGGGATGGAGGAGGAGATTAGATTTAAGATAGAGAGGAAGGAAAGAGGACAATACTGTCTACAGGATAGAGAGAAGTCCAAGAAGCCTTCCAAGTTTTGTCTTCAGTCACTCAGTGAGGTGGCCCAAGAAGAGAAGAGGATGGAGGAGAGATTATCTGCTAAGCCAGTCAGACTCGATTCTCTCAGAATTTTGACTAAGGAGTGTTGAAAGCATCTGCCAGCTGTTAGCCAACAGGGAAAGGATGAGACATGCAGAGAGCAATGTAGATGATGGGAGAGACAGTGCAGACTGAGGCAGAGGTGAGAGACTGGTCAGCTTCCACAGCCGCTGGAAATTCTGACAGCCTCCCCAGGTCCCATCTGTGAAGGGGATGGTAGCTAAAGGGGAATCAGAGGATTTCTTTGTTTGGTAGATGATTGATTTGTTTGGAAGAGACATTGCTTTTTAAATAGGATAGGCTAAAGACTGAAGTAGAAAGAAAAGACAAAGCGATAAGACTTTGAAAGTAATGAGTCATAGAGAGTGCTTCCTTGGGTCTGAGGAAAGGCTGGGCAAACTGCACAAAGAAGAGGGACATAGGACACGAAGGATCCTGAACCTTGACCAGGTTAAAGTCTCACCGAGTAATAAGAGAAAACCCTTTATAAGAAGCTTCATGTAAACTAACTTACATTAAGTATCATTTAATAAAAGTTTTTCCCTATAAAACACATAATATCCCTAATATTTATGTATATCAACCTGTTTTTTAAAATAGCACTTAACTCTCAATTTGGTTATCTGTCTCACCCTTTACCATTTTATCAAGGCAACCAGATTTCCTGACATTTGTAGCTACTTAACATGTTAGCTTTTAAAAATGTCTTTTTAAAGTATAATTTTATTTGTATTATGGAGCCAACTTTACTTAAATCAGAAGAATGGTGGCTGAAATAGTTCCTTAAGGAATTTTAATGGATGGTTCGGTGGTGTGTGTTAGAGTTTTTGTCGTGGTGAGACAAAAAGATCCTTGCACCACAGAAAAGAAATGATGTTGTTTGCCAAGTATAACATTAGTTTTCAAGTATGTTGTTTTTCACCAAGCATAGCAAACCAGTCGTAAATTTGAGGTTGTTGCTGCTGCCTGAAGAAAATTAGTGAATTTTTAAGTCTATTTTTGGTGGACTTAAAAATTTCCCTTTTTTATTTTTGGTAGATTGCACCCTATCTTTTGACCTCTCCACCCATAAGAATCTCAGCTGGGAAAGATGCCTTCCCTGTTCTGAGATGCGTTTCTTTCTCTGAGGACCCATTTTCTTGTCACCACTGCTTATGCACAAGTCTCATAGACACTCCAGCTGCATCTCTGCGACACCTGCTGCCCTAGGATGTGACTCATCTCATGCTCCCTTTGATCGGATTTCTCCCCTTCCATACTGCTCACACATCTTCACTCAGAGCTCCTTCCTAAAGCCTAATGCCAGGGGACAATCTTCAGAGCCCCCATCTATCTGTCACAAAGTCTGTACTCAGGAATTCCCCAAAGAGTTCTCACATTTCCAGAGAATACCACCAAAGGCTCCCATATACTTTCTTTGGGTACTTCTAAATCCTCATTCCAGATAAAGGAATTCGGGGTAGATACCCAGTAGTGGGGTTGCTGGATCTAATAATAGATCTGCTTTTAGTTCTTTTAGAAGTCTTCATACTGTTTTCCATAGAGGTTGTACTAATTTACATTCCCAACAGCAAGGCATAAGCGTTCCCTTTTCACCACATCTGCTCCATCTATTGTTTTCTGACTTTTTAATAATGTCCATTCCGGTTGGGGTAAGGTGGTGCCTCATTTTATTTTAACTTGCATTTCCCTGATGATTAGTCATGTTGAGCATTTTTTCATGTTTGTTGACCATTTGTATATCTTCTTTTGAGAAATGTCTATTCAAGTCATTTGCCCACTTTTTAATGGGATTACTTTTTTCTTGCTGATTTCTTTGAGTTCTTTAGAGATTCTGAATATTACTTTTTTGTCAGATGCATAGTTTGCAACTATTTTCTCCCATCCTGTAGGTTGTTTACTCTGTTGATTATTTCTTCTGCTGTGCAAAAGCTTTTTAGTTTAATTGGGTCCCATTTATTTATTTTCATTTTTGTTGCATTTGCTTTTGGAGTCTTAGTCGTAAATTCTTTGCCTATGCAAGTGTCCAAAGAGTATGTTTTCTTCTGGAATTGTTATGGTTTCAGGTCTTAGATTTAAGTCTTTAATCCATCTTAAGTTAATTTTTGTATACGGTGAGAGATAGAGTTTCATTCTTCTATGTGTGGCTATCCAGTTTTGGTGCTTCTTTGAAATGAACGAGTTATCTTTGACCAATTGGTATCTAGACAAATATTTCCTTTTCCAAGGATAGGTAATTTTAATACTTCATCCCTAAGTCCTTTGGCATGTATCTCCTAAGAATAAGGACATCCTCTTACACCAGGGGTCCCCAACCCCTAGGCCACGGACCAGTACCAGACCATTAGGTAATTGAGAAGTGGAAGCTACCTTTCCATACCCGTGGTAAATGGCCACATTCTGGACTCTTACCAGTCTTAACATCAGGCCATGAAATTAAAACTGTCTTCATAAAATTATAATCTTCTTAGAGCCATGTTGGTCTAAGATCTAGCATATTGATAGCATTTACTCTCCTTGGCCTTTGTTTTAAAGAACCAGAAAGAATGTCTGAGAGAAGAATATTTGAAATACCACCTTATTTGAAAGGAGAGTTAACTCTGTTGTGTGAAGTCACTCTTAGTGCTGAATCTCTTCCTTCTATCTTCCCAGATGAGCCAGTGCTGTCAGCATTCATATTGTGATGTTATTCTTTTTGCACTATCAGATCATACTAATTTCTGGTTTTTGATGGCCTTTCTTATTTTTATAGTCCACAATTTAGACTGCAATGATTATGTTTGATTAAATGAATTTTTATACAGAACATTATACATTCTTATTCAATAAATATTTGTGGTAATATGTATCAGACACTCTCCTAGGAGCTGAAGATACAAATATAAATAGAATATGCAGCCCCAGCCATCAGGAGCCCTCACTCTGGGATGATTTATACATACTGTACATACCTGGGTGTATGTGCATGTACAGATCCTTCAGTGTGAAAATTGCAGCTGATTTTCCCTTGTTGAAAAATGAACACATTGTTTTAATTTTTAAAGGTGAAACTGACATTTGAAAATGCATATGCTGTGAAAAAGGAGACATCCCAACCAAGACAGAAAAAGACACAATCGAACACAAGTGATTTAGTCAAGCTTCTCTGGGGAGAAGATGTTGAAGGTATCCAGCAGAGTAGCCTAAACACTCCTCATATCATTATGTATCTCACACTGCAGCTCGACTCAGAAACCTCAAAGGAAGAGGTGAGTGTCCTCAGAAGTCCAAAGGAAAAAGTAAGGACCTTTTATTGTATTCCCAGTGAATAGTGAGTATATTTGATTTAAGGAAGAGACAAAAATGAATTAACTATTGTTCTTTAAAATTGTGTATCTAATACTCTATTATAGATATGAATATTTCATACCACAGATGTTTTTAAAATGAAAACAAATTATTCAGTTATTTCTGTAGGAAAAGAAAAAAGAGGAAGGTATTGTTGCAGTATCTTTTAACTTAGAAGCTAAGGTCTTTTTAGCTCTTTTTGATATGTTTCATTGAAGTATTACTTATACATAATAAAATTCAACAATTTTAAGTATACAGTTTGATGAGTTTTGACAAATATACTTTTGCAAGCAGTATCACAATCATGATATGGGACATTTTTGTCACCTCAAAAAATTTCCTCTGTGCCCTGTTACAGTCAATCCCCTCCTTCTGTTAATAGCTTTTAATGCAGGGGGATGTAGCATTAACTTTCTTACATAGGTTGTTGATAGTTTTTATATTTTACATGTTTTTAAAATTCATTTTCAATGTTTATTGAACACCTACTTTTTGTCTAGCATAATATCAGATATTGGGTATTTTTATTTGCAGGTAAAGGAAATAATCCTAGTAAAGATAAGTACAATGTTTAAGTTCACATAGCTAGTAACTGACAATTTCTATTTAAGCTGAAGTGTTTCCAAATTCTGTGCCCTTTCTTTGATACTAGGTTACCTTTCAACATCAATGTTTTGAGTCTGTTAATTGTTTTGTTCAAGTTTTATCTTTTATTGGTTTCCTGTCTGCTTTGCCTATTCATAATTAAGAAAGATATAGAAATCTCCCCCTCTGATGAGGATTTGTCCATTTTTCCCTCCAGTTCTAAATATTTATGCTTTATATATTTTGAGACAATTTTGTTATGTGCATTAATGTTTAGAATTATTAAATCTTCCTGGAGAACTGAACTTTTTGACCTCATGATATGATCCTCTCCACCCTAGTTTGTTTCTGTCTTAAAGTCCTTTTTTAACATTAACATTTTAAAAATAATATTTAATATCATACAGCTTTATTTTATAAGTATTTGAATTTTTTTCTTTCTTTTTCTCAGTCCGTGTCTTTATGTATGTGACATGTCTTTTACACACAGCCTATTTCCAATCTGGCAGTCTCTCTCTTCTAACAAACTCAGTGGGTCCATTTATAGAGATTACTGATATATTTGAATTCATTTCTGCTACCTTATTTGAAAATTTCTACTGGAATTGCTTTTTCTGTGATATTTTTCTTATCTATTTTTGGTTGCTTGTGTCATTATTTTTGCTATATACTCTTTCTGTTTTTTAAATGATTACAGTTAAAATTTTATGATATTTGTCTTAACAGATTCTAAAGTGAAACACTATTTTAACCCCTTTTCAAATAATTCAAACCCCTTAATATACTTTAGCTTCAGTTACCCTTCTCTTTACTTATGTGCTATTGTCATCAATATTTTAGTGCTATCTCTTTTCTCCATCATCTATAATTATAACTACTACTTATTATAACATTTTATACACCATAAAATTTATAAATTAAGTATATATTATATAATATATAAATGATGTATTATAAAAAGTATAAATATAATTATATATTATATATTTGTATGTTTGTTTTTAATATAAATATTATATATTTCATACAGCTTTAAATTTACAATTGTGCCTCATATTTTCTTTATTCATCATCCTCTTCCATCGGAAACTGTCCTTATTGGATCATTATTTTCTTCCTAAAACATATATTTTAAACATGTCTTTTTAGTGAAAGTTTGTTGGTGATCAATTCTTTTTGTTGTTATTTATCTGATGATGGCTTCTTTTACCTCTTCTTGAAAGGTAGCTTGATAATTCTAGATTGTATTCATTTGGGTAGGCTACTTGCTATAACAAGCAATCCTAATGTCTCAGTGGCTTAACATGATGAAAGTTTAGATCTCATTTCATTTAACTATTCCTGGTCATGTGGCTCAGTGACTCCAGCCTTTCTTCTAGTGTTCCTATTATTCCCAAGGGCTTAGGAGTCCTCTATTAGATCCTTGCATCTAATTGACCAATGAGAGAAGAGAGAAGGCAGGCAGTATCACATGGGACATTTTGGAGACTTGACTTGAAAGAAGTAACATCATTTCTGCTCATGTTCCATTGGGTAGAATTAGTCACATGGTCTATCCATATGCAAGGAAGTAAGAAATGTAGCCTTCCTGTGTGGCCAGGAAGAAGACCAAGTGAATACGTAAGTTGCTTGTGCCACCTAGGTAGTTATTTTCTCTAATCTATTTGAGATAGTATCCCTTTGTCTTTTGACCTCCATTATTGCTCTTAAGAAGTCTACTGTCAGTCTATCATTCCTTTGTAAGGAATGTGCCTTTCCTAGTGTTTGTTCAGCTTTTTACTTCTTCTATGCCCCAACTGTTGTTTAATCTCTCCATTGTGTTTTGTATTTAAACAATTACATATTTATTTTTAGAAGTTTCTGAAAAGTGTTTAATCATCATTTCAAATCTGCCATGGTATTCCTGGGGGTCTTTTGTTGCTTGCTCATCTTTGTAACTCTAAACTTGTAGACTCTATACTCTATTCTATATCTGCCCATTCTATAAGCTCTAGTCCTGAGAGGATTCTCACGTGTCACAAGGTTTTCACTTGCAATGGCTTGCCTTCTTATGTCCTTGGGGATCTTTGACTAAACTTATTGCTTGATGTTATCTTTGGGAGTCTTGTCGTTCTAATGAGGGGATGCTGTCCTCCAGAGATAATTTGTTTCTTCTGTTTTTGCCACTGACCTAGGATATTTCAGTCTCACTTGAGGGTATGGTCTTAACAAAGTGGTTCTAGGCTCAGCTCACCTACCTTGTTCCTAGCCCAGTACTCAGTGTCCTGATGGAAGCTGTCATGGGAATCAGCCCTCAGGACAGGCCTGCTTCTGTCCTTCTGCCCACCACTCAACACTCCCAGCAGAGGCCCTAACTTGCTCTGCAATAATGGAGGAGGTTGGAAGTTTGTCCTTGGAAACCTCTCTGCTTCTTGCATGTCAGCAATTTGACAAGTATGTTCTGGCCATGGATCTGGTTTTACAACGAAAGGGTCTCTCAGAGCATCTAGTCAAACGTAATGCTTTCCACAGAAGTGAGATTTAAAAGGTTTTTAACTAATCTGTATCTCTTTCTTTTTGAAATCCTTCGAGTCTGTATTCTCAATGCTTAAGCTATTTTATCCAAAAGGATTCATTTTCTTGTGTTGCTTCATATATCAAAATTTAGTGAATAATCAAAATGGCAAAGAAGGAATTTACTTAAACACATTTTTGTTATTTCTGTGTTCTGAAAAATACATACAGACCTAGAGTTAATAATTCTAATTTCTTGTGTGTAGTACTGATCCTTTATATTTTTAAAACAAATGAAATATTTAAGCATTTGTTATATAAAACATACAACAAATTTCCGGGACGATAACATCCTGAATCTTCTAAGTCATTTTGGAGTAAGATACTGCTAAGACCTTTTGTCATCCTTGCCTTTCTTTCCATGGGAAAGTATGTAGATGTTTCTCAAAAGAACAGGTTTCTGTCTGTTGCCAGCCCTGTATCAACATTGTAATTAAGAGAGGCTTTTATTCTTATTGAACAGAGTGGAAGCTGCTGCAAATGCATGTTACTAATAAGTGCTTAAAAATGCAGCTAATTAAATTGGTTAAGAACCGTAGAGCTTGCCAGGTCTTTAATAGTGAGGCTTTTATGATTGGAATAGAGACCTTCTCAAATGACCTTTTTTGACTGGTATGGCTTAATTTATAATAAAATCTCATAAGGTCATTTTACGTGTCACAAGGTTTTCTGTGAGTTACATATTTGATAAAAGCTTATCTTCTTTAAGTTACAAGATTTCAAAATGTAAAGACCATAAGCTTGGAGATTTCGAAAAACTATTCAAAGAGTATATGGGGGTTTTTTTTTGTTTAAAGTAGTGTATGGTATTTTGGCTAAATACAATAAAATTATTTATTGGCCAAGATTTAAATCTATTAAGTAGACAACAGAAGCTCTTAACTGATATTTAACTTAATTTCTAGATATAAAATAATGGTTTGTAACTTTTTTACATTAAAATTACTGCAATAAAATTTTAGTTGTTAGGCAGAGTGTATTTTACCAGCATATTCTATAGCAATTTGCATATATTGAATGTGCTTACTAAGTATAAAAAGCAGATGTCTCCAATTTATTTATATTTGTCATAATGTAAAAGTTGGCAAGACATGGCGACTATATCATGTAATTATTTATTGTATAGTGAGACCACAGCAAGATATGTAATACTCTTTAGAGAGATAGAGAACCAGAGAAAATATATGATACTATTTAAGGAGCTTGGGTTTTCAATAGTGGCAATATTAATATTTATGGATACAGTCATTAAACAGGGCAACTGGAAGCCACTCTGAATTCTTCATGGTTTCTATCTTAACGTTTTCATTTTGCCTGCTTTTAATTTTCCTTGTGAGAGAAATAAATGTTGCTTTAAGTAACAACATAAAATGAGGTACAGAATGGGTTCATCTCTTTGTATGACAGTATTAAGACAGTGCACATCCTGATTTTGAAATTTGTCATTTTATTTTGTAAAAACTGTTTCCTGAGACATGCTCTTCTTGAAAATAGAAAAACGTAAGGCATTTTGTGAATTATCTTGTACATCTAGTATTTTCCATGTTTTAAAATAAAATATGCTCTTTTAAAGTTGGAATTCAGATTAGTTTGTGGCATACACAGCGTTTCAAATTTGACAGATAAGATTTTATAATATTGTGACACTTTTTGCTTATTATCTATATTATAATTTAGTTCTGTATTCTCACTTTGTAAGTTTAATTGCTGTCTTGGCTTGGATTTAATGATTTCACCCAAAATGTTGAATATTGTCTTTTAAAAAAGTAGTATAAAAGTAACTAAATTTAAAGACTCCTAATAGTTACTTGTGGTACCTATGTAGCTGTGTAAACACAGGGATGAGAATAACTGTATACTATTAACAAAATATAATAAAATATTAGTATTACAAATTATTATTAAAGAGATTAAAGTTTAAAACTGTTTTAAATGAATTGTAATTTAAATTAATTAGTATCCTACCTAGTATATTATTTGTTGTTATGACTAATTTTGGCAGTCTCCAACTTATTTTCAAGTGTAGTATTTTACATGCTAGTTAATGTGTTAAAATTCCAAGCATAGTTCTCCCCTTGTGTTTGAACAAAACTCCCACTGAAGCTGAAAGGATTCATTTTTTGTTTTTTTCTTAATACAAAGTTTGAACTTTCCCTGATAAAGATACCGGTTGGAAAATTGGGTGGTTTGATCATTTGTTTCATTTAACAGCAGGAAATTCTTTATCATTATCCAATGTCTGAAGCATCTCAGAAACTTAAAAGTGTGAGAGGGATTTTTCTCACACTCTGTGACATGCTGGAAAACGTAACTGGGACACAAGTTACTAGGTAATAATTTTTATTTGGCTTTAATTCTGTTTTTTTCAAGTTCTTTTATTTCACCCTGACAAAATGCTGAAACAAGTATCTGTTATACAAGTATACTTGTATCTACAATATATGTATTATATACATTATAGTCTATAATCTATGTATATACATGTATATATCTATACATTATAGATAACGAGATCTGCAGAATGTCTGCAGATTTTTGCTTCATCTAAGTTATTTCTACCAATCGTCTATTTGAAGTGTAGATTCTCAGCACAGCTGTAGATCTGGGTGTTTTGGCACATTTTAAATAACAGTTGGGCCTATAGTTATTATTTCTTCATGAAGGTGTATCTTTTATACATGGCATTATTATGAATCTCAGCTTTTTCATGTTTCTGTCTTGATTGTTAACTTCCTAGGTAATACCTTTGTGGCAAACAGAATTGGCAAGAATGACTGAACACCAAAATTGGTCATATAGTTAGGACATACTCTGTTCTTACAACAATGATAGAAAAATACAGAATGTTCTTTAGGAGGGCTATTCATAATCAGTGAATTTTCCTACCCTTCCACCCTTAAAACTCTCCAATGTCTGTTATTCCACACTCTATGTCCATGTGTACACATTATTTAGCTCCCATTTGTCCCTTTAATCTAACTTGATTTAGGTTAAAGGCTTAAAAGTAAGACTTGACACTATAAAAATGCTAGAGGAAAACCTAGGAAAAATGTTTCTGTACATTGGTCTAGGCATATAATTCATGACTAAGACCTCAAAAGCAAATGCAACAAAACCAAAAATAGACAAATAGGACAGATGCATTCATCATCAGTGTAGATACTCAGTGATTCATGAGCATCATTCATCCAATTGATGTCAAATAATTTTATATTTAGAACTTTTAATATAGTCAATTATAGAGTCAAATACCCATTCCATTGATTTATTAAACCCTGACATTGAAATGCCGTAGTTAATTTATGGGAAGAAGAGGCTCAAAGCTTTTAGGTTTGTGTTTTTTTCCATAAAATAAATCTAAGAATTATAAACAATTTTTCTTCTTTAATATTCAACAATTTTAGACTTTACAAAAAAATTTTATCTCAAATTTCAACAGCCTCCATAATACTGAGAAAATATCAAATTGGATTTTCTAGGCTTTAACTTTTTTTTCCCCCATATTCAGGTAGAAATGACATTTCTATGATTTTAAAAGAGGTAGAATCTACAAGGCAATAGAAAGAAAAATTTTATTTTTTAACTAATTGAAAGTCATGTTTAACTATGTGACTTTAATATATTGTATATACAAACTGTTAGTTTATTTTCAACACAGTAGTACTGGAGGCTCTACTTAGTTTATAAATTTGGGTTCATAAAAGCATATTGCAGGCCTCTTTTTATTTTTTAAACATCTTTATTGAGATATAGTACATAAGTGATACAGTTCAGCCATTTGAAGTGCATGTGTAATCCTAAAATTGGTATGGAACCAAAAACGAGCCTGAATAGCCAAAGCAGTCCTCAGCAAAAAGAACAAAACTTAGAGGCATCACATCACCTGATTTCAAATTATACTATAAGGCTATAGTAACCCAAAAGAGCATGGTACTGGTATAAAAATAGACACATAGATCAATGGAACAGAATAGAGAAACAGAAATAAAGCCACATGCCTATAGCCAATTGATCTTTGACAAAGTTGACAAAAATATACACTGGGGAAAGTACACCCTATTCAATAAATCGTGCTGGGAAAGTTGGATAGCCATATGCAAAAGAATGAAACTGAACCCATGTCTCTCACCATATACAAAAATGAACTCAAGTGAGATTAAAGACTTAAGTGTAATTCCTGACACTATAAAAATGCTAGAAGAAAACCTAGGAAAAACTCTTCTGGATATTGGCCTAGGCAAATAATTCATGAGTAAGACCTCAAAAGCAAATGCAACAAAACCAAAAAATAGATAAGTAGGACTTAATTAAACTGAAAAGTTTCTACACAGCAAAAGAAATAGTGCAGAGTCAATAGATAGCCTTCAGAATGAGAGAAAATATTTGCAAATTGCACATCCACCAAGTGACTAATATCCAGAATCTATATCGTGAACTCAACAAGAAAACAACCAATAACCCCATTAAAAAGTGGGCAAAGGACATGAACAGACATTTTTTAAAAGAAGACATACAAATGGATAACGTGCATATGAAAAAGTGGTTATCCCTAATCATCAGAGAAGTGCAAATTAAAAGCACAATGAGATAACATCTTACACCAATCAGAATGGCTGTTATTAAAAGGTCAAAAAATAACAGATGCTGGTGAGGATGCAGAGAAAAGGGAATGCTTATACAGTGCTGGTGGAATTGTAAATGAATACAGCCTCTACAGAAAACAGTATGGAGATTTCTCAAAAAACTAAAAATATAACTACAATTTGATCAAGTAACCCCATGACTGGGTATATACCCAAAGAAAAAAAATCATTATATCAAAAAGATACCTGCACTCATATATTTATGAGTGCTATTCACAATAGCAAAGATAATGGAATCAATCTAAGCATCCATCAACAGATGACTGGATAAAGAAAATGTGGTGTATGTATATACAATGAAATAAAAAAGAACAAATAAATAATGGAATAAATTAAATAAGTAAATGGAATAAATAAGAGAATGAAATAATGTCATTTGCTGCAACATAGATAAAACTAGAGGCCATTATCTTAAGTGACACAACTCAAACAGAAAGTCAAATATTACATATTCTCACTTATAAATGGGGGCTAAATAAAGTGTTCACATGGACGTAGACTGTAAAATAACAGACACTGGAGATTTTGAAGGGCGGGAGGGGAGTCAGAAATGAGAAACTACTTAATGGATACAACGTACACTATCCTCAGGTGATGGTTACACTAAAAGCCCAGATTTCACCACCATGCAATATCCATCTATTAAAACTGTACTTGTACCCCCTAAATATATACAAATAATAAATTTTAAAGTGTACAAGTAAATGCTTTTTGGTGTATTCACAGATATGCGTAACCCTCATCAAAGTCAATTTTAAAACATTTTTCTCACCTCAGAAAGAAATCTTATACCCTTTAGCTCAGCCAGCCCAACCCCTGGGCAATTGCTAATCTACTTTCTATTGCTATAGATATCCCTGTTCTGGATATTACATATGAATGGAATCATATAATGTGTGGCTATTTGTGACTGGCTTCTTTCATTTAGCATAGGAGATGCATTTCATTTAGCATAAGGTGTGCATTCCCCCTTTACAGTCTTATTAGAAAGAAAATTTAAGTTTCTCTGTGCGGTGTTTTGGGGGTTTTTTTTTGTTTTTTTGTTTTTTGTTTTTTGTTTTTTTTGTCTTCATTGTTTCTACTGTAAAGAATAGATGTTATTTTACCTAATATTTAGATTTTGTTATTAACCATGAGATATGGGTTAAATGTGGAAAGCAGTAAATACAGCTAGAAAAACTTTTCTGAGAAGGTAATAAATATGAAAATTATTTTAGGGGTTCCTTAGCAATGTGTGTATCTTTTGTTGCATACACACTTTTTAAATTATAGTAATATTAGTATACTACAAGAGTCTAATATTTGTCTAAAAGTGTATGCATTTCTAAAATGTATTAAGACAAAAGTAATGTTCTGTGTGGAAAAATTCATTTAATAATTTGTATTTAAAATTCTACACAAAGTTCTCTATATTATCATAGTTCATTATTGTATCTCTTTTTAGAACATATTTAAATTTTTAAAACTTCACTGAAGTATAATGAAGTAAACTGAACATATGTAAAATGTACAATTTGATTAGTTTTCACATAGGTGTATACCCTGAAACTATCAACACAATGAATATATTCATCACCCCAAAAGTTTCCTTGAGAACACATTTAAATCTGACTTACATTTTGGTTACATGTTTATATATTTGTGTCCCATACTGATTGTCATCTCAGCTGGGACTACATCTTCCTTTCTTTAGCAAATCATCTTCATAAATAGGCAGTCACAAAATATTTGTTAAATTAACCGAGATAAAGCTTTCTTTTTTTTTTTTTTTTTTTTCATTGAGACAGGGCCTTGCTTTGTCACCCATGCTGGAGTGCAGTCATGGCTCACCACAGCCTTGACCTCCCAGCCTCAAGTGATCCTCCCATCTCAGTCCCCATCCCAAGTAGCTAAGACTACAGGACCACTCCACTATGCCCAGCTAATTTTTTTTTTTTTTTTTTTTTTAGAAATGGGGTCTGTCTTTGTTCCCCAGGGTGGTCTCAAACTTCTGGGCTTAAGTGATCTTCCCCCTTTAGCTTCCTTAAGTGCTGGGATTATAGGTATGATCCACTGCACCCAGTTTTGAAGCTTTCTTTTGGAAAAAATAATTTATATTATGCCTAATGTTAGCAAGAGAATTTCAACTTTTTTTTTTTTTTTCTATAATGGGTCTACTTTTGTTTGGCCTTGAGTTTTCTTTTTTCTCTTTTTGAGACATAGTCTCACTATGTCACCTAGGCTGGAGTGCAGTGGCACACTCTCGGCTCACTGCAACCTCCGCCTCCCAGGTTGAAACACTTCTTGTACCTCAGCCTCCCAAGTAGCCAGGACCACAGGCATGTACCACCACACCAGACTGTCTTTTGTGTTTTTAGTAGAGACAGGGTTTTGCAATGTTGACCAGGCTGTTCTCGAACTCGTGACCTCAAGAGATCCACTTGCCTTGGTCTCCCAAAGTGCTGAGATCATAGGTGTGAGCCACCACACCCAGCCTGGCCTAGAGTTTTCTGTTTTGTTTTTTTTTTCAATATGTTGAAGTATATTTTTACTGTCATATAATTCCTTGCGTTTTTTGTGTGACAGGTATATGAAAAGGAATCTACTTATTAAGTATGCAGTTCTTAAATCATACCATATGCAATCTTTTATGAATTATACTTATAATTTTATGACATTTAAAGATATTTTTATCTTATTTTGAATTTATTGTTTCTTAGCTCATCCCTCCTTTTAAATGGAAAACAAATTCACGTGGCTTATTGGAAAGAATCTGACAAGTTGTTGCTAATTGGCCTGCCTGCTGAAGAGTAAGTTGAGGTTTTTGCTTATCTTAAAATCATTTCAAAATAATATTACGTTTCTTTTGTTAAAATTATTACATTTTTGTCAAAAGACAAACTCCTTAACAGTTTTACAGTTTAAAGATCTATCGCGCTAGTAAAATAGTTACCTGTGTTCATTTGGTATGAATAATGCAGAAAGGTGCCATGGAGCCTCAGCTGGGCCGGTTCGTAAGGTGGGGTGGGCTGTCAATACACTTGCTTCTTTTGTGGTCAGTAGAGAGGTGGCTAAGAGATGAGCTCTGCCTCTGCTAGAATTTTTGACAATATTGTGATTTGGATTTTGCACATTTACAGTTTTTTACTGTTGGACCAGATTTTGGAGAATTAAGGGTCAGCAGAAGGGTATTTTGCCCTGATTTGAGCATCTTTGACAAAATAAGGTATATGTAACTCTAAAGTGACTTCTCTAATGGTATGTCTTATATTATCATGGTCTGCCTAACTTTTTTGTGAGTATTTTGAAGTATACATTTAATAGTTGGAGGTAAAAGCAGGATTGACATTTATAATAAACTGACCTTGTGCTCCAGGGACTGCATTAGGTACTTTACATTTATTAAACTCATTTAATCTTCAAAATCACTTCCAGACATACTTAGTGATTACTGGCTCCATTTTGTATATGAGGAAAGTAAAATCAAAAGAGGGTTCGATAACTTGCCAAAGCTCGCATAGTCAACAAGAGGCAGGATTGGAAATTGATTGAGGGTCTGTCTGAATTCTTTCTACAACACTGATTCCCTAATGTCATAGGACATTGAAAATCAAGGGAGAAATAGACTACAAGTATGGAGAATGGCCCCAAGGAGATGAACTTAACTACTATTATAATAGTGTTATGTTCCTGTTCAATGGTTTTTAAAACTTGTATTTAGACTTTTGCCTACTTTGAAAGGTATTCAGACAACTTTTATTAAGTAATTAAACACACTTTAGTTTTCCCCTTTGGTCTGTAGAATCATAGCATATGGTCTGCAAAATAGGAATCAAATATCAAAGCAAATACTGTAATATGTGATGGATACAACTTTAGAGAATACCAGTTGAGACAAATTTTCTCTTGGTGTTGCTTCAAGCTTCCCAAGAAAGAAAAAGATGTACCAGGAAGATGCATTATCTAGCCAATCTGAACGTGAATATGACTATTTTTTATTACTAATGATTTTGTTAACCAGATTTCCTTCATTATATAGCAGTATATTCATTTTTTATTGCTGTGTAACAAATCGTTCCCCAAAACATAGGGGTAATTTAAACTTAAATAGTAAACATTTATTAACACAGAGGTATTTTTGTGGTTCAGGAATCCAGGAGTAACCTAGCAGGTAGTTCTGCCTCAAGGTCTTTTCTTGAGGTTACAATCCAGTGTTGGCCAGGGATAGACTTATCTGAAGGCTTTAACTGGAGCTGGAGAATCTGCTTCCAACGTGGCTTATACACATGGCCATTGATAGGAAGCCTAGTTTCTTGCCACGTGGACCTCCCCATGTAGCTGCTTGGGTGTCCTCATAACGTGTCAACTGGCTTCCTCCAAAGTGGCGAGCCAAAACATAGAAAGAGGGGGATGCTACAAGACCTTTTATGTCTTAACCTTAGAAGTGATACACTGCGATTTCCACAATATTTGTCATTTCCACTATTCTGTTTGTCAGAATTGAGTTACTAAGCTCAGCCCACACTCATGGGGAGAGGAATTAAGCCTCACTTCTTGAGGGGAAGAGTATCAAAGAATTTGTGGACCTATTTTACCATTACAACAGGAATTCCAAAGATGGCTACAGTGAAAAATATCAAAATGATTATATTTTGAAGGTAACTTTAATCTTGGACAGAAAGAAATATAATCTATCATAAATGTGGGGTTCAAATCTTTTAACATGGGGGATAATGGCGCTGTGACATATACTAGATGAGGGCACTCTTTAACCAGCCACACAAGAGAAAAATGTGTGTTTTTCTGTCTAAAATAGGATACTGAACCCTTCTCAGAGACTGCCCTGTGGGTTTGGATTATGAGGAACAAAAGAGTTGTTTAGAAAGTATGGGTCTACAGCCAGGCAGTGGCTCACACCTGTAATCCTAGCACTTTGGGAGGCCAAGGCTAGTGGATTCCTTGAGCTCAGGAGTTCAAGACCAGCGTAGGTAACATGGTGAAACCCTGTCTCTACAGAAAATGCAAAAATTAGCCAGGCACGGTGGCATGCATCTGTAGTCCCAGCTACTTGGGTGACTGAGGTGGGAGGATTGCATGGGCCTTGGAGGCGGAGGTTGCAATTAGCTGTGATGCTGCCACTGTACTCCAGCCTGGGTGACAGAGCAAGACAATGTCTCAAAAAAAAAAAAAAAGAAAAGAAAAGAAATAAATTTTGGGTTTACAAGGATTGGAGAACATCCAGAATGAGATGATTTAGTATGTAGCAGCAGAGTAAAACATGTCTCTTTAAGACTTTTGTATCAGCCCAAAAGGCAAAAGAGAAGAAAGAAAATACAGTGGTGAGATAAAGGTAGCATAGGCAGTTAGAGAGAGGAAAGGCAGACCTGGCTAAGGAACTGAGCAAAGGTTGTTCAACCACACTCTGATAACACCAGCCGAATCAGCTAAGCAGAGAGTTTCCAGGTGAGGTTGTATCTTGAAGCCAACAAAGGACTGTCACTGCTGAACTCTGGACCAAGGTTGTGCCACATGAGGGATGCTCTAGCCAGTTTCTTAATCTTTATTAATCAGGGTGGGGGAAGGAAGGCCATCTTCCCTAAATATCTATTCCTATCCTAAAGAACTTGGCTTGATAAGTTAGAATTAATTTGAAGGTCCCCTTTATTCTCTTTCCTGAGCTTCCATGAAAAGTAAGCTTGAGCCATCTCTTTACCCTTCTCTTAAATGCTCACACTAACCTTCTGTTCCAGATTATTTTCCCTCTTCCATCTCATTTCACATAACTAAAAGATAGGTAGTAGTATTCTCATTTATTCAAACTTAGAAATAGAGTATTGAGAGATCACGCACAAGCAGCTCTTCAGTGTCAACTTACATGTCTTCATATCACCAACATTTTGCACGTGCTTTGTAATTGAACTCAAAGCCCTGGGATTTTCTCCTCATCCATTTCAGTGCCATAGACTGCGTGTTTCCCTCCTCACCTCTATGCCTTTTATAAGCAGGGTGAGAAAAGTGCTGTCCCACAGAATTTAGGGTGGGGTACATGATCGGGGGATATGTGTTTTCAGATGGGAAGATCACATTCCCGTGATGGCTGCAGTGAATAATGGAAACCTAACCAGGAGGACAGTGTGGGGTAGTGGGAGAATAACTTTGGGTCTAAGAAGATGAGTGCTCACCAGCAGGCTCTACTCCCTTTCTTCCCTTGCAGAAATTATGTAACTTCTTGGACTTCTGTTTACTCACTGGCATAATGGGAATAATAAGAGCTACCTTGTAAAATTCTTATAAGGCTTCAATGAGAAAATATAAGTCCATTTCTTTATTTCCTTTCTCCTACTTTCTTCCCATTCTCCATTTCGATTAAGAGTGTGTTTTTGTCACAGGATTTGGAGGCCCAGTTGATATGTGGGTAATACTAAAAAGTGTCAAGAATTTAGCATTTTTTTTTGTGGGCCCAGGTCTTGTAAAAACTAGTTTATTTGCATTAATTTCATTTAATCCTCAGAATCAATCTGAGAAGGGCTTGGTGACTATTGGCCTCATTTTACAGATGAAGAAACTGAACTTTAGAGAGAGTTACATGATTTGCAAATAAATGGTGTTATAAAGTCCCTGTTAGATTCATGCTGGAACTAAATCTAGAATAAAGTGATCAATGGTCATTGAAAGCGACCATTTTATACAGCTTTACTCAGAGTTGACACATACACTTTTCACATTCCGTATGTGTAGAATTCAACGATGATCTGCTTCTTTTAGATAAATGTCATTTGATTATGCTGTAAATTAATACGTGTAATTTTGCTTTTTTAGAGTTCCTCTTCCTCGGCTAAGGAACATGATAGAAAATGTCGTCCAAACCTTAAAATTTATGTATGGTTCTTTAGATAGGTAAGTACTTCTTCAAATTGACTCTCAAGTTTTAATTACATGATTCTAAGTCACCTTTTGCATTTCAGACCATTTCTTGCTTGACAGGTTAGTTATTTGTCTCCTCTTTCTCCTCCTTCCCTCTTTCCTCCTCCTCTTCCTTCCTCTTCCTTCTCCTCTTCCTTCCTCCTTTCTCTTTCCTTATTCTTCCACCTCCTTCTTTTTCTCCTTCCTCTTCTTATTTTCTCATCTTTTATTACTGGCTTTTATGTTACAACAGTAGGCAGTTTTTCATTTGATTCCTTTTTTGTTTTGTTTTGTTTTGTTTTTGGTCTCATATATGACTTTAGTGAAATTTCTTAGTGAATTAGTGACATAACTACAACTGTATTCTGATTTGATATATTTCTGTAGGGTCAAATGTGAGAGTATTTCTTCATAACAGATACAGAAAAGAGAAAGACTTAAAATATATTTTTGTGTTTTTCTTTGCTTGTAAGACTGTTAAATTCCCTATCCTGAAATATGATGCTTCTTTCTCAAAAAAAATTCTTTAGTAAAAAATTTATGCAGTATTATTTTAAAAAGACATACAGTAGAGACAGTATTGACTGATTTTGTTTGTGTCCTTCCATATATTTTTCTATATAATAAAAATAATATTCCCTTTTTAATAAAAGTGTGCTGCTATGCATATTTTTCTGCTTCTTGCTTTTTTAACCTTCTTGATCTGAAGGCAGAAATTTGAGGTAACATTTAACGTTTAAGCACACAAAACTGGGTATGGGAAATCGATTTTTCTCTTAGTCACTTTTGTTCTTGTATTTCTGAGGGCTAAAATGGTATCTTTGTGTTTAAAGCCTTAGGAGTATATCAATACAAAAATCCAAAGGCAGTTTATACATTTTTCCAAACCATAGTGATATCAGCTCTCTGTTTATCTATAGTGGATCTTTGTTCTCATTGTTCTCACAGTGTCATGAAGGAATTTTCTGTGATGGTGTCATCTGGGAAAATTACCTAGTTTGCAGTGCCGTGTTCTCTAGAGGAACCACTGAGGAGGCACATCCCTGTCAAACCTGATTACTTACCAACATTTTCCAAATGAGTGAGCTACAAAGAGCTGGGCATCCATAAATAGTGCTTTTACCTTTTACTAGTAAGGAAATTTTTAACCAATGAAGAGTAAGAATGTGGTTATGAACTGCCTCTTTAAGTTTACTCGAGAGAGGCAAACTTTGCCATATTTTGCCCTAATTAAAGCTTTCTGTTTTCATAAAACCAGAGATTATCAAAGATTAAATTTTTACAATGAGTTTCATACATGAAAATAGTCCATTGGAGTTGTCCTGCAAATTCCATTAGAGTAGACTGGGGACAGAGGGACTTAATTTCTCTTTCATCTTGAAATTTATCTTCCATTGATAGTGAAAGTATCTTTTTGATGGCAGCAAATTTAACTCTTTTCTACTTCAAGTGAGAATTTAAAGAGCAAACTACAATAATAAATATGAAGATCCATTGAGTTCTTAAAACCAAGAAGCACAGTGAATCCCGGATGTTATTAATAGGCATTTTGTAATAATTTTTATAACAACTTTTTTCTGATTATGAAAGATATTAAGGGCCAATTGTGAAAAATTACAAAAAGATCAAAAGGTGTAGAGACAATTATCTTTTTAATGTTGTGAGCTGGTTAATCCTCTATGAGCCACAGAAAACTAACTATATACTAACAGTTTAATGTTGTGACCAAATTAAAGCTGTAACAATTTCCTTCACCATTCCCAACTAATTCATCAGCAAGTCCTGATCAGTCTGTCTTCAAAATCTCCAATGTGTCCGTTTCTCTTTATCTTTACTATTGCCCTGTCCAGCCACTGCTATCTCTCACACACTTCAGTAGCCTCCTAACTGGTCTCCTTCCCTTCAATCTTGCCACTTGAACTAATTTTCATATAGCAGTTACAGTGATCTTTCTACATTATTATCTGGCTCCTACCTACCCCTCTGACTTCAGATATCAAAGCACACGTGCCTCCTCTGCTCCTTTGCTCAGGGTGCAAACACCCTGGCAAAGCTTTTCCCCACCCCAGGGCTTTTGTACTTTTTCTTCCTGCTGGATCTTCCTGACATTGGAATATCAGCTCAAATGCTCTTTCTCTGAGATTCTTCTCCAACCATTCAACCTAAAATAGCCAACCTGTCACACCACCCATTCACATTGTGCTATTTTCTGCATAGTCCTTTATACGAATTCATGTTTTTTACCGTATGTTCATTTGCTGTGTTTCTCCATTAGAACATAAGCTTCATGGGAGTTCATTGTCTTTTGTCTTGATATTTTTACTGCCATAACTCCAGCAATGAGAATAGTGCCTGGAATGTAATAGTCACTCAAATATTTGTTGGATGAATCAGCGAATATTATTTTGATACACCAATAGCATATGTACCTGCTATTTTGTCATTCAGTGAGCTGTTCCAATAAATGCTTGCAGTCAATGCTGTGTTACTTTTATATGGCTAAAACCAAGTATATCAGTTTTTTCTGTCATTTTGTTTTTTGAGTTCTTTAATGTTATACCTTCAGCAGTAATGAGGGGAGGAAACAACTTATGCTTATTATGTACTTACTGTTTACCAGTAAATAATAAGCATAACATGAGCTTATGCTTGTTATGTTGTAGGCATTCTGCATGTGAGTTAGATTGTATTAACCCTATTTTTACAGAGTTGGAAACCAAAGTTAGAGAGAGGTTAGGTGATTTGCGTTTGATAGCTACCTACAAAGAGCTGTGATATGCCACATCTGTTCTATTACAAAGTTCAAAATCTCTTTATCCTTCCACGTTGCCTGAAAGATTTCAGGAGTTGTAAATGGTTGAGAGATAGTCAGAGGTAAGAACAACTTACCTTTTTTACAAAAAGGGTATTTCAGCCCTTTCTGTTATAGATATGTCACTTGTGTTAGCCCTGTGGTTCTTCCATAGAGCCATCTACTCGATACATTTGAGAGTAAGTTTTAGGGTAAAAAGTATGGACAGGGTGAATTTCTTTACACAATCCGTCAGTAACATTCTAGCAGCAATTCTATTAAAGGAGAGGAGTGAGGAAGATAGCCTATGTAGTTGGGAAAGATCCAGTTCCCTTAGGAGCACACAAAAAATGACCACCATTTCCGTATGTTGTTCTAACTTACAGCTCTTATTTCTCCAGTGCCTTTTGCCAGATTGAGAATGTTCCTCGTTTGGATCATTTTTTTAACTTGTTCTTTCAAAGAGCACTTCAGCCTGCGAAACTGCATTCCAGCGCCAGTCCCAGTGCTCAGCAGTACGATGCTTCCAGTGCAGTACTTTTAGACAACCTCCCTGGAGTCCGGTGGCTCACGCTTCCACTGGAAATCAAGGTAATCTTAGATATTATAAAGAAGAACCAGAACCAGGTGCCTTATTATAATCTTGCATCTTCTTTTTTCGTAGACTTTTTGTTATTTTTGGAATTATGGTTAAAAATTAAAGAGGCAGTTGGTTGACAAAATAGGAGGTCCAGTGCAATAAACCCAGAAAGAGAAATTATTCTTTATAAGTAGAAATTTGCTCTCTCCTCTTACTTTTAAATTTAAGCTTTGTCCAAGCTGGGACTGCTTTTCAGAAATCGTAATTAAATGGTGTATCTTCCTTTGGAATTTTGTGACTTTGATTTTATAATGTAAGGTTGTCAAGTTAGAATTATGTTTCTGTACAAAAAAAGTGGATGACATGATTGACTAACAATATTCTCAGTTAAAATACAAAGTCCACTAGTCTACCAAAATCTTTTTTTACATTAACATATGTGATTAGCTTTTGGCTTGTCCCATAGATAGCTACCAATAGTAAGACTGTATGATGGTTAAGAATTATCAATATGATTTTAGTTGTATCTGTATACCTAGAATAACTTTATTATTGAATGATTGACAAGATTATTTCAGACATTTTCATCAATGTAGACCACCATATAATCTATTTAGTTACAGCATTTGCATTAGTATTAAATGAGGCAGTATGCCATAGCCACTTCTCTGCTTATGAAGAAACCTAGGCTATGTTACAGTAGAAACTTAATTCAAGTTCCTACTCTTCATAAGACTCTACAGTGTATGATCAAATAAATGCCTTTTTGACAGTTTAATAGTTATTTAAATTGATGTGTCAATCACTTTGTTCAGTTTCCTCATCTGTAAAATGGAGGAAATAATAGTCCCTACCTCATGGAAAAGTTACAAGTTATTACACATGAAGTATTTAGAATTGTGCCTGGCATGTTGTAGTTGTAGTTATGGGAGCATTATTATACAATTACTATTTGAAGGGAGATGAGGTGTTAGAGCATGTTCAAAGGATGCTTTGCCTTCTGGTGTTTTTATTTTGTCCTTAGCTCTATCAACTGCCTGGTCTTTTGATATTTCAGGACAATAATTACTCCTTCCTTCCTTCCTTCCTTCCTTCCTTCCTTCCTTCCTTCCTTCCTTCCTTCCTTCCTTCCCTTCCTTCCCTTCCTCCCTGGGAGGATGAGTGGGCCTTCCTTCCTTCCTTCCTTCCTTCCTTCCTTCCTTCCTTCCTTCCTCCCTCCCTCCCTCCCTCCCTTCCTTCCTTCTTTTCTTTTTTGTTTTTTTTTGTGAGACAGGGTCTCGCTCTGTCACCCCAGCTGGAGTGGGAGTGCAGTGGCGTAATTATAACTCACTGCAGCCTCCACATCGCAGGCTCGGGTAATCTTCCCCCCTCAGCCCCTCAGGTAGCTGGAACTACACGTGCACACCACCATGCCTGGCTAATTTTTGTATTTTTAGTAGAGACCATGTTTCTCCATGTTTCCCAAGCTGGTCTTGAACTCCTGAGCACAAGCAATCTGCCCACCTCAGTCTCCTAGAGTGCTGGATTACAGGCATGAGCCATGGCACCTGGCCTACCATTTTCTTAAATTGTATAAAAAAACTAAAAAGTATGAGATATATAATTCTACCTGACTAATGTTGTCATAAAAATATATAAGCATTGGCTGAGCATGGTGGCTCATGCCTGTAATCCTCGTGCTTTGGGAGACAGAGATGGGAGGATCACTTGAGGCCAAGAGTTCAAGACCAGCCTGGACAACATAGGGAGACCCTGTCTCCACAGAAACTTTAAACATTAGCAGAGCATGGTGGCACACACCTGTAGTTACAGCTACTCAGTAGGCTGAAATGGAAGGATTACTTGAGCCCAGGAGTTGGGCTCCCCACTCTATCATAGTTGCAGTGAGCTACGATTGCACTGCTGTACTACAGTGGGGCAACAGAGTGAGACCCTATCTCAGGAAAGGAAAGGAAAAAGGAAAAGGAAAAAGAAGAGGAAAAAAGGAAGATAAAAGAAAAAAGGAAAGGAGAAAGAAAGGGGAAAGGAAAGGGGGAGGGAAGAGGGACGGAAGGATGTAAGTGTTCAATATAGGTAGAAACATAGAAAGTAACTAGATAACTTTACCTTTAAAAGAGAAAGACCCTGGTTCCAAAGACTGTCTCATGCCCATTCTCATTCTGGGGTCTTTTTTCCTCAGCCACAGGGCCCATGCCCACTTCATGAGTCAGAAGGTACCATCTCTTGAGGCTTGCCATTCTACCTGGCCATTACCTAGGTTCTTGCCCCTCTGTCAGAATTTCTTCATTAAAGAAACTTCTTCCCTCAAAACATATAGTCCCTTCTTTCTGTGATAGTAGAGGTACTTAATGTTTTAGGGGTTGTGTGTTTAGAATTTAGATACATTAAGATTAAATATTATCTTTCCTCAAAAAAGTTTAAGATGTTCTTAAATATTGTCTATTGGGGGCTTACAGATTGCATGTGAAGGCTACCTCTTTTTCATTGAGATTTTTGTTAATTTAGCATATATTTCTTTAAAAGATTTATATGCTTTTCTTTATTTCACCCTAAAAGAATATCAAATTGAGAAATCACTGTGTGAATTCTGGTATATATTTTTAATTCATTGCCTTAAAACATAGCTGTTGCTTATCTTGTCAGTGCTTTGGCTGCTTTCATCCTTGTTACATCTAACACTACTGTGTGGAGATCAGTGTTCATTGTGCCGGTTCCTCAAGTCTGTGCCGTGCTTTGCAGAATGCAGAAAAACCTCTAGATGTGCACAGGCAAGTTGAGCAGGTGAAATTAATACACAGGAAACAGTGAGGATCTGGCTTAGTTGTTTTCTATATTTTGTAGTCCAGTTAGGAGATTGAAAACAATACTTTTGGGAAGAGAGCTAGATACCTTCTGCTAAAGTAGTCTAAAGCTCTATTTGATTAATATAAAATTTGAATAACAATAACAATTGAAGTTTTTTTTTAATTCTATTTTTTACTGCAGTTTCAGGTTCACAGTAAAATTGAGAGAAAGGTATAGATTTCCCACATGCCCCCTTCCCCCATACATCACACATGCATAGCCTCTTCATTATCAACATACCCCCAACATTCCCAGGGGTACAGTTGTTATAATTGATGAACCTACATTGACACATCATAATAACCCAAAGTCCATCATTTACATTAGGGTTCATTCTTGGTGGTGTACATTCTATGGATTTAGACAGATTATAATGACATGGATCTATCCTTGTAGTATTATACAGAATAGTTTCACAGCCCCGGAAATTCTCTGTGTTCTGCCTATCCCTCTTTTTCATCCCTCCCTTTCCATTAACCGCTGGAAACAATTGATCTTTTCACTGCCTCCATTGTTTTGCATTTTCCAAAATGTTATATAGTTGTAATCATATAGTATGTAGCCTTTTCAGATTGGATTCTTTCACTTGGTAATACACATTTTAAGTTCCTCTTTGTCTTTTTACGGCTTGATAGCTCATTTCTTTTTAACGCTGAATAGTATTTCATTGTTCAGATGTACCACAGTTTATTCATCCATTCGCTGAAAATCTTGGTTGCTTCCACGTTTGGACAATTAATTCTTGGTCAAACAGCAAGAGAATGTTTAGTTTTGTAAGAAACTACCAAACTGTCTTCTGAAGTGGCTGTATTTTGTATTCCTACCAGCAATGAATGAGAGTTCCTGTTGTTCCATATCCTTGTCAGTACTTAGTGTTGTCAATATTTTGGATTTGGGTCATTCTACTGTGTGTCTAGTTCTGTCTCATTGTTATTTTAATTTGCATTTCCCTGATGACCATATGATATGGAACATCTTTTCATGTGCTTATTTGCCTTCTGAATATCTTCTTTGGTGAACTGTTTGTTAAGGCCTTTGGCCCATTTTTTTTAATTCAATCGGTTTTTGGGGAAGAAGTGGTGTTTGGTTACATGAATAAGTCCTTTAATGGCAATTTCTGTGATTTTGGTTCACCCACCACGCAAGGAGTGCACACTGTACCTAATGTGTAATCTTTTATCTCTTGCCACCCCCTGCTCTTTCCCCCAAGTTCCTAAAGTCCAATGTATCATTCTTAAGCCTTTGCATCCTCATAGCTTAGCTCCCACATATGAGTGAGAACATATGATGTTTGGTTTTCCATTCCTGAGTTACTTCACTTAGAATAATAGTCTCCAATTCCATCCAGGTTGCTGCAAATGCCATTATTTTGTTCCTTTTTCTGGCTGAGTGGTGTTCCATGGTATATATATACCACATTTTCTTTATCCACTCATTGATTAATGGGCGTCTGGTTCCATATTTTTGCAATTGTGAATTGCGCAGCTATAAACGTGTGTGCAAATATCTTATTCGTATAATGATTTCTTTTCCTCTGAGTAGATACCTAGTAGTGGGATTGCTGGATCAACCAGCAGATCTACTTTTAGTTAAGGAATCTCTACAATGTTTTCCATAGTGGTTGTACTAGTTTATTTTCCCACCAACAGTATAAAAGTGATCCCTTTTTGCCATATCCACACCAACATCTATTTTTTTTTTTTATTATGGCCATTGTTGCAGGAGTGAGGTGGTATCGCATGTGGTTTTGATTTGCATTTCTCTGATCGTTAATGATGTTGATCATTTTTCCATATGCTGGTTAGCCATTTGTATATCTTCTTTTGAGAACTGTCTGTTCATCTCCTCAGCCCACTTTTTGATGGGATTGTTTTTTTCTTGCTGATTTGAGTTCCTTGTAGATTCTGGATATTAGTCCTTTGTCAGATGTATAGATTGTGAAGATTTTCTCCCACTCTGTGGGGTGTTAACTCTGCTGATTATTTATTTTGCTATTCAGAAAGTTTTTAGTTTAATTAAGTCCCATCTATTTATCTTTGTTTTTGTTGCATTTGCTTTTGAGTTCTTGGTCATGAAGCCTTTGCCCAAGCCAATGTCTAAAAGGGTTTTTCCAATGTTATCTTCTAGCATCTTTGTGGTTTCATGTCTTAGATTTGTTTAAGTCTTT